CACAGGGAGGGAGGCTTGGCGAGCCCTCCACAACACTGGGAATGAGAATCAAGTGCTCTGGAGCAGTGAGGAGCTGCCTGCAGCAAGCTCTGCTCAGGTGCTATCAGCACTGACAGGCTCTCGCTGCTCGCCAGCAGCACATCCTCAGCACATCAGGTAATGCCTTCCTGAACATCAATACCTCGTTCCAGAAACAGCCACAGGAAAAGGCACCGACAGCAACAGCACTTGTACCAACTAAACCACCACAGCTTTCCCTCGGAGGCATTAAAGCAAAATGATTCCTAACAGCCAAGCAGGGCAGACCGACAGGTCCCGGGGGTTACTGGTGAACCTCGTTAAGCTGGGCCCGGCTCCACGATCCGCACTCGCTGCACAGCGCGGCCTCGGCTCTGCCGCCCGGGACACTGCGAGCGCAGGAATGCCCAGGAATGCCCAGGAATGCCCAGCAATGCCCAGCAATGCCCAGCAATGCCCAGCAATGCCCAGGAAGGGGTGCGGGCTCCGGAGCAGCGAGGACAGAACGCACCTGGGGCACGACTGCACCAGGGTGCCTCAATGAACGGCGAGCTTCCCTCTCCTATCACATGATGTGTTGCAGCTGCTTTGGAACACATGACTCAATGTAATAAGGAATTGCAGAAAGCAGAAAAAAACAAAAAGCTGGGAGCTAACTTGCGAGACAAACAGACTCTTCTAAAAGATTAAATATTTCCATGATACAGTCTGAAAAACCTCCCAAAATTAAATTTCTACAGTCACTTGCATTTCAAAAGGCATATAGATATAAAAAAGCCAACAGAAATAAAAAAAATCAGGTGGTAAAGTCAATCAGAATTATTAAATAAAAGCCGAATATATCCGATGGCAAAAATCTTGAACAGGATACATAATTCAACCTCAGCAAAAAACAGGAACTCATTCAGAATTAATCAAAAAGATGATTACAAATATGGGAAACTTCATGTTCAGGACCAACTAAGAAAAGCCAAAGGGAGGCAAAACAAAGTGGACATATAACACGTCTAAAAATCACAACTTGCATCAAATGGAGGAATATGGCTTGATGTTTGCTGCGTCCTACAAGAACTAGGATTTATCCAAAGGAAGTGGATGGTGGTAATTTCAGGGGGAAAAAAAACCCAAAACCAAACAAACCAAACAATTAAAAGGAGTTCTAACAGCATATGATTAAACTATAGAACTTGTTACCATGTGAAGCTGTGGGTGCTAAACGGCTATAGAAAGCAACTGCATAAACTCAAGTAAGCCAAATCCAGCGAGAGGAACTGAACACTGCTCTGTGATATCCCGTGACTCCTCACTGGGGTGTCCCCATGAGCCTCCTGCAGGAGGAAAAGCCCCACGCTGCACTCTGCAGAGGGAGCAGCAGGGAATGCTGCTTGCCCTGCTCCCCTCTGCCTGCGGCCAGCAGCAGCGAGAGGGGACATCTGTCCCTGCCCAGCCGTACCTGTGCCCTGCTGGTCACCGCGCCGGGGACAGCTCTCAGCTTCACTTCTGTCATCCGAAACGGGGCAGACACAACAGACACCACCGGTGCACAACTGCTTCCAGTAGCACCTCACCACCACCGCCCCTTTAACTTGCCTTAGCATGAACAAGCCTTAAAGATAAAAGTTACTATTCTAATTCAGTTTAGTCTATCATGTAATAACCATTTCCAGCCTTTTTGTAAAAAACTTACAGGTAGCAACTACTATCTTAATCTACTAGAAAATTAGCATACTGAGCAACAGTTTAACTAATTCAAGTTGACATTAAGATTCAGGAGGAACAATCCTTTCCTCCCACAATCAGATGCTCCACTGGTTACATAATCTGCTGCAGAATGCCCTGTGTGAGCAACAGGGAGGATCTCATTGCCTGGTCTTGCCCAAACCACAGTGTGGCACTGGTTCCAGCACACACACCAGACTGGCCCATTGTCCATCCTGGTACTGCCCTTCTGCACACTGCTGTGCCACTCACATCATGGAGACATGCTGCAGTCACAGTCACTTGTGCTGGACAGGTTTTCTCAATGATGAAGCTGATGACTACAGACACAGTTATGGAAAATAGGCTACAGCTGATCCCCAGAACAAAACACACCTTCAGATTTAACAACGTGAACTCCACACTCCCCTAACGTACACAGACTCATTTCCTACCAGCCAGGCAAGGCACTTTAACAGACTGACTGCTAGACTACCTGCTATTTCTGTAATTTTCCTCTTTGACATGCTTGTAAAACTAGCAATGCACACAAACAAAGAGGAAAAAAGTGAAACTGTTACAGAGGCCAACTCTTAACTAATTCTGCAGAAACTCTCACTCCCAGAACTAACACTAGGAAAACAGAGCTGCAGAAAGAAAAAGAAAACATTTTTATAACTCTACTTCAAACCTATATAATTTGTTTTGCAATGAAATTATACCAAATTTTATAAAATTACTTGCTTTTCTCTACTGCAGTATCAGTATTGTCCCTTACAACCAAGGTTTTCACTTGTTTTACTGATGATACTTGCTCCTTTTCCCAATAAACACCCTCCTCAGGGCATACAGTTCCAGGAGAACACAGGCTTTTAATCCAAATTCTGATAAGATGTGGGCTCTGGGCTCCAGAGGAAACTTTTAAAACAAACTCTAGGTTGAAAGTTGATTCCAATTAATTTTCTTTTTTGAAGTAAAAACCACTTCACTTTCTAACTAGACGTATTATTTCCTAGCCTGTAACTCCTTGTCCTAACCTTCACTGCACAGAAATACAAATTAGACAACAGGGTATTTAGCTCCTTTGGAATTAGTAAGCAAGCCACTCCCTCAGAGTCACTAAGTTTTAGGAATCAAAAGCTTAACACAACCATTTGCAGGTTTCAGGTATTACTAAAGCCAGTACCCCTTGTGCTAATGTAACTTAATTCCAAAAGAACTCCTTAAAAACTCCACTACTTAAAAAAGTGTAACAAACATTCAGGCACTCAGGCTTATCTCTGTTCCTGAGAGCAAAAGCAATTTCACACAATTGTTAAGGATAGGATATTAGGAATGCCATACTGAAACTGTATTTACAAGGAAGTGCAAGTCAGCCTTAATATAATTAAATGAGTTGGAATTTGGCCAGTAGCATGGGTTATGACAAATCCACAAGCCAGTCTATCCAACAGTACAATGTGTACTTGTTTATGCACTTTTCTACAGCATGGCTGATGACAGAAACAAAAAAATGTCTTTAGGCTGGTGCTTAACTTCAAACAGGAAGAATTGCATTTAAGTAATTAAAAATAAGTCACTTCTAACACCCTCCCAACTCTCATACAGAGTCATGAACAGATTTTCTCAGAGCTACTCTGTGGCTATACAGAGCAGTGAATCTCATTGTGAAGTAATTCAAAATAATACCTTGGAATGATATGGAGGTGGAAATTTAAGTCTGTGGTACTTCATACTGTGGCTTCTACATAACTTGGGGCAAGTTACTACAAATGTCCCAAAAGCCATGAAATGCTGACTTCAAAGAGAGTGCATGGCAAGGAAAATAATGCAAAGAGGGAATAAATACAAGCCAGTTGAGAAAAACAAACCCAGTCAGCACCATTTTAAGAGTGAGTACTTGGGAGTTTCACAAATAGAGCGTGAACCACGCTGCAGAAAGTGGCAGCACAGAAGTTACTTTCTGTGACTGCTCATGGCCAGGTCCCACAGCAAAGGCAAGATGTGCTACATTTTGAGCAAAGCACTCTCATACTGCCCTGCAGTTGCTGTGGAATGTCTCACAGAAGAACATGCAGTCACTTCCTTGTGAGTCAAAGGCCTTGGACGAATATCAACTGCAACATAATCAGCGAGATGCCAAGTGGTAAGCAGAAGTTTTGCAAGCATAAAAATATAACTATTTCAAATATCAAGCAATCTCAGCAATGTATTTTAGGACATTTATGCCTCAAGCAAATTCTGCATTCTTTTGTTTCGTGAAGAATGTCAGGCAGTTGTTATTTACTCTTCTACAGTATTTCAGCCTCTTAGGTACCTCACTGGACCATATCACATATCAATTAGTATTGCTAAATTAGCAACAGGCCCATGTAAAGCAGTGACAGAAATAATTTTTAAGAGTTGTTTATAGCTACATCACTCTGTGTGTGTAAATTCATATTTTTAAATAAACATTCTGATTTCTAAGAAAAAACTGTAGAATGACATTGTTTTAAGCTCAAAATTTTCCTTAGAAACTGCAAGCCAAATTTATTACTGTTATGTACAGTTTGCAGTGAAAGTAGTCTTGGGAACAGTAGATTGTTCCTTCCATATCTGAAAAAAGGTTTTTAGAAATCCTCATTGCTCAAACTGTCATCTACCAGAGACTATTTCTTATTTAAAACATGGACATCATTAATACCCTACATTTTTATAAATATGTTATGATGAACAGTAATAATAGCTTTATTTCACCCACACCCCAAAAAGATTATTCTGTAGAGGTCTGAAGACAAAAATTCCAAATGTACCTAAAGGCACCATAATCCATAAGACTAAATGAATAAAGATGGCACTAGAAGTTTCCCAATACAGAAATCAATCATACCCACACACTGGAAATTCTCTGACTATTTTCCTTTAAAATAAAGGAAGACTCTGACACAGGCTTTGCTACTGGCTTCTGCACACAGGTAAAATCTGACTGTCTGATGAAAGCGTAATTACCAGTAGTCTTCCAAAAGGTGTCAAGAATGCAAAAACACTTAAGAGAGGTTTAATTTCCATTACTCACAATAAAACCAAAACATTATTCTATATGTAGTAAAGCATCACACAGGCAAAACTGCCTATGCATTCACTTAGTGTTTCAGGTGTGTTGCAATAAGTTTCTACAGACACAAACATCATTACCTTTTCCTGCTCAAAAGCAATATTCCCTCAATGAACAATGCTAAGATTAAAATATACCAAAATCAATGCCAACAGAGGTATTTGTCAAACTCCTGATTCATGCCTACCTGGTAAAAGTACTGGTTCCAGTTTTTTAATTCTTGGTTCTGATGCTATATTGTCATCAGCCTGAAGAAAAAAAAAAAAGATAATTTACTTAATGCTCAGAACTTCACAGTCAGACACAAGCCTGACCTGCTTGTACAGAAGAGAAAGTTGTTTTAACTTAAAAAGTTCATCTTAAGGAGCTAGAATCCGATCATAGCAAGAGTTATTAACAATTTTGAGGGCATTTAGATTTGTACCATAAGAATAATAAATTTTTTAAAATATTAATGTTTAAAGAATTGGGTAACCCAAATTATCACAAGTCACAGGGTAAACAAAAACCAGTTTGGCTTGATACTCCATAATGGCCCAAGAACTTCAACAAGTTTTACACATATAGACACTCAAGTTCAAAAAAACTCTACTAATTTCTAACATGCACAGCTTTCCAACATAGGAAAGATTTTAGAAAAAACTTAAGGCCTAGAACATGCATATGCCTACTTGCAGTTCAATTTCAAACCTTCAAAATTAAAAGCTTCTATAAAAAGACTGGAACCTTTAGTGAAATAACCCACATTTCCTACAATGATAGCAATATAACCATTTCCCAGGACTAGGAATATCCATAACTGTGTTACATCGACATCTCACTCCTATTAAGAAATTGGGAAAAAACCAAGAATCCGTCAACATGTCAAACATGTTGCTAGAAGAGGTCCTGCCCTGTCTAAAGTAAATAAATATCAATTTCTGTCAAGTGCACATTCAGATGACACAAAAAGTCCTGTCCGTACTATATGCGCTATTTATAATTTATAGGTATACTCGGTTTTCTCATTTATGCCATCAGACAGGTTGTAAACATGAAGCGATGGCTACAGGTGAGAGTTTAACTATGCACAGCAGCGCCCGCTCCGCTTTCTCCTCATCCCGCCCAGCGCTGCGAGCCCAAACACCTGAAGCACAACTCACAACTTCCCAAAATAATCTCGCACGGGCCGATTTTAACGAACACAAGACTTTATTTTGATACAAGTCCTGCTTCCCGACCACCGTGCGGGCTCTGTCCGTGTGCGAGGCGCACACCCGGAGGCCGAGGGGCTGCACCCCGAACCGGCTGCGCAGCTTTTGTTCCCCGGTGCCACGGAGGGCTCGGGGACCCGGCAGCCCCTCCACAGGTGCCGCTCGCCACCCCCGGGCCAGCGGCACAGCCCCGGGGCCAGCGGGCACAGCCCGGGGCGGCACCTCGGCCAGGGACAGGGACGGCCCGGGGCAGGCAGGGCAGGGCAGGGCACGGCAGGGCGGTAATGGCAGTAAAAGGCGGTTACCTGAGGCAGAAGGTACGACTTGAAGGTGGGTTTGGGCTGCTTGAGGGAGAACATTGTGGCCGCCGACGGGCGGGCCGGGCCGGGCCGCGGAGGTGGTACCGACGCCCGCCGGCTCAGGCCCGGCGCCCGCGGCCGCTCGGGCTGCGCTCCCCGTCACACCGCGGGGGCGGCCCCGGCGCACCCTCCTTCCCCAAGGGAGGAGCCAGCGGCCTGGGCAGGCCCGGGCTGGAGCCGCTGCCGCCCCGCATGGAGCCCCCGCGGCTCCCTCCGCCTCCCCGAGCCGGCCCAGCGGTTAAG